CACTCCGGCTTTGCTTTCTGTCTCAGCCTAAAAATACAAACAGAAAAAAGAGTGTGTGTAAATTATATTCATCTACAAATATTATTTAATGAATACCAAAAGAGTGACAAGTTAAAAGATGGAAATTAGCTTTAGTTGAATCTGGTACAAAGCATCTCTTCTCTTCTGAGACTAATGTTTTTTTTTTTGGTACACTGTCCCTAAAACAAATAAACTAATGAACTAAACTAAACTAGCATTTCATCACAACACCTCACTGTGTCAACCACCCAAGCATCCAGCGCCCTGTAAGTATAATAAGAAGCACAAAAAACAGAAGTCTGCAGTGTTTTTAAGGTTAGTTTAACACCTCGCAGACTAGATTAAATACTTTTAAGCAATTACCATGGAAACGTAGAATTCAATTCGATCTTAATTACCATGGAAACGTAGAATGTCAGAGCCCCGCGTGACACCGATATCAATTCGAATTGAATCACCATGGAAACGTCAGCGATCTGTATTCGACTGGCCGTTCCACGAGTCTGACAGACCAAACCTCATCAATATTATGACTGTTTTACTGCTCTCTTCCGCATTGGAGGGCGTTCATAGGTCATAGACAGGCGGAGACCCGTCACTCCTACTTTTATTGAACCACTCATCACTTCGGCGCACCTTTCTAACACCACACACGCTCAGGTATGTATTTAAAACACTTTAGTTGCCGGCTTGTTTCCCCGGGCGACTCGCATCTTCTTTTAGCCACGCTGTGGAGCTAACACTACACGGCTAGCTAACGCTAACTGGCTAAAGAAGCAGGGGGAGACGTGTTTACACTGACGGTAAGTAACTTTAATACTCTTACAATCAGACAGAAACTGACAGGAATCGCCGGTATCACCATTAAAAACTCACCCTGACTGAGCTTGGGGCTTGCTGCTCGGTGGCGGAGGCTGAATCGCCGCGCACCGAGCCCGGGAAGGTAAGAACCCGACCACCCGGGATCGAGTCCCCGAACTCCGCTACTTCCTGGAGGGACACCGTGGACGGTCACCGGAGCTGTATAGACACACACCGACCCCTATGTCCAGGCGTTATTATTTATTGAGCTGCAAAATGTAAACACCACCCGCGATTTAAGGGTTGCTGAAAGTCACATTCCGCTTGCATCAGACCGCCATGTTACTGTACAGGCATGGAGAGCCACACCGCCCCCTATCAGCTCATGGTGGTATTACACCTGTTAACCAAGAAGCAATGGGTTCAACTTCACATTCAGCACATTTGATTACATTTTAACAATAAACTAAAAACTTGAAACACTTACGCATTCTAAAAATAGCCACGAATACCACACATATTTCCATATTTACATAATTAATTAATAATAACTAACAGCCTATGACATCAATAGCAGTCTGTCCTTGACACAAAACTTCACCCCCATAAAACACTACCCCATGACCTGCTTCATTATTATCATTACTAACATTGTATTATTGTATTATTATTATTATTATTTAGCATCAATATGTATATACATATATACTGTACATTCTATATATATTAGTCTATATTATATAACATTTCATTATATTGCACTATATTGTTCATATTGCACTATATTACATTATATTATATAACTGCACTCTGCATCACTGTGGTACAACACTGCCTCTCTTCTCTGCTGTTTACATTACTTGCTGCTATTTTATCATACCAAGTCACTTTAATCATCACTTGTCACTTTATCTTGTAAATACTGTCTCAATTCCCTGCATAGTTAACTTCATCATTCATTTTGTACTTGTATATATCCCCTGTTTTTATTTTTATTTATCTTATCTATTCTGTTTAATGTGTATTTTGAGCTTTCTTGTCTGTGCTGCTGCAATGCCCGAATTTCCCCTCTGGGGATCAATAAAGTATTATCCTAATTACTGACTTTGAGCTATTTGTGTTATTCATTGTTGTTGTCATTTCTCTTTTTACACTCCTTCTTCCTGAACCTTCCTCTATCCCTCTTTCAAAGCCCAACAGTTTCTGCAGATGGCTGTCACCTCTCACAACATGGCATAAAAACACATCTTATTCCTGAAGAATCTTATGTTGTGTTCATGTTGCTAAGTGCTTTAAAAAAGTGCACCATATACATTTTATATAAAAGACACAGAGCCCCCAAAAGTCCATGAATTAAACTTTTAATCATCTGTGGTTATGACACTGCTGGTTCTATGAAATAGCAGCACGTTATACTTAAAAAACAACATATTAAATGTACAGATTTGGTTAAAATCATGTCTATTTCCTTGTGAATACAAATTATATCCCACAAATGGAAAATGAAGCACTTTCTTAATGTGTTAACTAATTTAAAAGACTAGCTTTATTCAAACCTGGTCTATATTAGTACGTGTACTGTACACCTTTAACTCGGTAATGATGTTAAGACAACAGTGTTTCAGTCTTCATTCAATTCACAGAGCTTCATCACTTTGACAACACAGCCTCCGTGTTCAGCATAAAAAACATTTTCAGCATCATATCTAGAAGTATGGCGACTGGACAACACCTTTGCAAAAAAGACAACACTTTACTTCAGAAGGGAAAAGGGAGACACAATGGTTCTAACCAATCCTCTACGTGTTTCTGGCTTTCAAAACTCCCAAAGAGAGACTTTGAAAAAGAAACATTTGATGCCTCAGAAGTAGAGCCCGACCGATAAATCAGCTACCCGATAATGTCGGCCGATATTAGCACATCAAGGGTCTATCAGTATCGGCTATTTTATCACAGATATGCGCCGACATTACTAGATTTATTAACCAGTCAAATAAAATTTCATTTAAGTATTGTTGTATTACACTAGCAGGTATCCATCTGGCTGTCACCAGCAGAGGGCGCTATATGGATTACAACAATGATATGATGCACATTCATGCTCAGTTACTTTCCAGTTGAGTGACCATCTTGTGTTCATCACATATCTTTTCCAAAAGTGTTTGATAACTGCTTTTGAGGGATCAACACAATAAGTGTGTACATCTATATCCATCTATCTCTACAGATCTAAGAACTTAGATGCAACATAGATCTAAGAAAGATATCAGCCGATAAATCAGTAATGGATTTTTTTTCTCTCCCTAGAAAGATATCGGTATCGGCCCCAAAACTTTTATATCGGTCGGGTCCTACTCACAAGTGTCGCCCTTAGCGTGAAAACTGGACTTTCTACTGGTCAACACAGTTCATATTTAATCACACAATGTTGTTATTTTGGGTCCACTGCCTACAGTTGGTAAAAATCATCTGTTGGCACTAATAAACAAAAATAAAAGCAACACAGGCTTTCTATTCCACCTATGTTTGCTAACTTAACTGTGCTTCAGTACTAAGATGTCAAAATGCTCCTTTGACTAAAGAAACGGCAGGAAGACGAGGTGTGACTGACAGTGGAAACATCCCCCATCCGTTCTAAGTTTAACGTATATGAAACACGTTTCAGTAATGTGACGAGGGCGGCTTCATGTAACACTTGTAAAGTGTCTAAATGCTCAGCGAGCATGTTCAAAGTGCATGCATGGTGGTTGAGATTTGGTCACAAGCGTAAGACGACATGGGAAGTGTTTCAACAGCGGGGGGGGGGGGGGGGGGGATACTCTTAAGCAGTTCCTGAAATGAAGGTGTTGTTTGTAAGATGATAATCAGCAAGTAAACTAAACAAGTGAAGAAATTGATGAACTTAATGCATTTCATTTAAGAGACATTTTTCTTGTGAATTCTGGGACCTGGTGATAAAACATTTGTAAAACTCAAAAGAGGCACCATGGCCGACTTGTTTGTAACCCATAGATACGTGTGAGAACTGAGGAGGGTTTCAGGGAGGGACATCGTTTTACTTAAAGGGAAGCATGAACATTTGACTTCCAGCCATTTACAAAAAAAAAGATAAACGGTGACATCTTAAAATTGGTGTCCGTTAATCAAAAGGTCAAATTTCCAAAGACTCTTCATTAACTCTCATGACTGACAGAAGAAAACACAAAACCTTTATAATAAAGAAGCTGGACTCAGATGACTCATCTGTTAAAAAATGTTGGCAAAATAGTTTCCTTTTGATAATCTAAGAACGGTCATTATGTCATCCATTTGTCTGCCTCCTTTGAGTTACGCAGCATCTTTTCTACATCGTGTTTTGCCTCCTGAGCTTTTCTACATTTCCACTACCATCAATCATCAAGAGTATACCCCTTCAAAACACGTGGTATCAAAAAGCATCAGAGTATTGATTGAACATTTGATTACCTCAGAAGAAGTGCATGGATTTGAACCTGTCGCTTTGAACATAACAAGTAAATGTTTGTGAGTTTTCCTAAAAGTTTAACTTTAATATGTTGCCACAAAGGCTTTAACTTTAGATTTTATTGCAATGGATTGACTTACTCCTTTGCTTTTTATGCATTTTTCCTGTTCCAACGCTTTTTACTGCACTCCACCTCGACACAAATCCTCTTTTGAGAAGAGTCACAAAAAAGCCAGAGAATTACCTTAAAGGTCACATATTTTCCTCCTCTTCAACCAGTGTAAATAAGTCTCAGAGCTCCTCAAAACATGTGTGTGAAGTTTCTTGTTCTAAATCCACTCTGATCCTGTATTTGATCATGCCTATAAACCCCTCTATTTCAGCCCTGCTCAGAACAGGCTGTTTCTGTGTCTGTACCTTTAAATATGTAAATGAGCTGTGTCTGACCACGCCCCCTCTCTCAAAGGTGCTTGGGTGTACTCGGTGCTTTCTCGCTCCATGTCCTATTGTTTACGGTGAGAAGGCAGACTCAGAGGGCAGAACAAACACCTAGCTGTGGGAGTGTCACCCACCTGGGGGAGGGGCTACTGCCCTTTGTGATGTCATGAAGGGAAAATCTCCAAACGGCCTGTTTGAACACACATTTTCTGAAAAGTGGAGCAGGGGAAAGACGGACAGGATGGACTTTTCTCATCATTGGGGGGTTTGTAGACAGACTAGAGACACATATTAGAGTTAAAGAAACATGGTGAAGTGTATTTTGTATAATATGTGACCTTTAAGTCAAACTGCACTTTTTATAAGATGGCACAGGGAGGGGACAGGGTGAAACCAGAGAGAACTATTCTCGTCTAGCTCATTATAGCAGAAAAAGCTTTTTAAGTAAAAGTGGTGATGAGTTGTATGACGCTCTACGGATCATACTCAAGAGGCACAAAATCTTTTTTTATAGAGAGCAGCTAAACAAGACTAACAAAATACTTCACTGTAGTACCCTCCCCTTTACGGTTAAACGCTCCCTTGTAGGTAAACATGAAAGACGAGAAGGTTTATCAAACGTTCGAACAGAATCGGACACATTTAACGTTGGTGTAAAGAATCTGTTACAGGTTAACACACAGATAAACAGTATACTAGATTTCTCAAGGCTATACAGTAACAACCATTTTTAAGACGGACAAACAGCCTCCAAACTTGACGTGTATACAGTTTTATATATCCACGCCGCCACCTTTGAGGTTCTTCTTAAGGTATCCATAGTTGTATAAATGCTTAATCTACTTTCAAAAGTTATAAGTCGTAGCTCCAGCTGCCTTCTCAAGCGTTTTGTCCCGTGGTGAAAAGAGACACACAGGTTTGTTGTCTTCATGTCTACAGACAAACACCCTTCTTCTTCTTCTTCTTCTTCTTCTTCTATCGCTGTTCAAATCCAATCAGACGCAGGTGAAGGAAAGTGTAACTTTTTTTAAGCGTTCCTCTGTCGTTTTTCAGCATCAGGGTGAGGCTCCATGACGCCCGGCCGTTTCAGATTCCACTGGTCGATCTGTCTCTGCCTGTCCTGCTGCTGCTGCTGCTGCTGCTCCGCCTCCGCCTCGCTGCATGAGCTGCAGGTGTTGCCGCCGCCGAAGGCAAAGCACTCCTTCTGCTTCCCGTCGACCTTCCTTCTCTCGCCCTTCTCCCTCCTCTTCTCCTCCACCATGATGACGCTGTTCAGCTCGACGGGTTTGATGTCCAGGTCCGTCTCGATGGGCGCCTGCTCCGACACCGGCTCGTCCTCCCTGCGGTCCATGTCCACCCACATGGGCCCGGGCGCAGGCTCCAAAGGGGTGTATTGGAGTATGTGCTGATGGAGCTGCTGGGGGTCCACCTGCTGAGGGAGGCTCTGGTGCTCCGGATGCAGGAACTGGCTCTGGTGCTGCAGGTGATGCAGAGGCTGCAGAGGGTGCTGCAGGTGTTGGTGCTGGATCTGATGCTGCTGCTGCTGCTGCTGCTGGTGATGGTGATGAAGATGATGATGATGATGATGCTGATGGTGTTGGTGAGGATGGTGAAGCTGCTGATGATGATGCTGAAGGTGGTGGTTGTGGTGGTACTGATCCATGTTCTGCTTGTCCACGCTGTGGGCGAACTCCTTGGGTTGACTTTTGAGGAACTTTTCAAACTTCTTGGAGGCTTTTTTGTTGGTCACAAACCAGTCCTGTGAGGAGGAGGAGAGTAAGGACAAGACGGGGTCAGAGTACGATTAGATTTGTGTTTTAGATAAGGTTTCTTCAGGTTGTGCTACAGCGTCATGGTGTTCTCATCTTTTTCTCTTTTTATGTTGTGTTTTTTTAAGCAGATCTTGGGTAATACATGTTGTTTGTGGTTGTGGTAGAGCCTCATTTTGGTATGGTTTGCCCACTGTGATGAATGCAATCATTTATATAAACCAATGAGCAGAGGCGACATCACTCCGTGCAGTTGTCTGTCCATTTTAGGAATTGAAAAGTGTCTTTGGAGCAGCCAATCAGGAGACAACTAATCTGTGTTTATCTTTGGAATTTTTTTCCCACTAGAAATTCCGACCAATCAGAGAGCAGTTTCCTCGCTCATCACACATTTGGGTCGGCTTGTAAATGTCCACGTGCGAACACAGACCAATTTTAAGGTGATTATGCAACAATGTGACAAATTGGTTCACGATTCAGACCAGAGCAAACGATCTATAGGTGGGTAAAAAGTCCCAAAACACACTTTCCCAAGGGGACGATAAAGTGCATCGTATCACCTCACAGCGTGCCACATCACATCGTATCATATCTTATCATATCATAAGGTGGCAACTACTGAACACAAAGTTACATCAAATGGCATCTCCATACAATCCAAATAAACAAACAGAAAGCCATCCAAACGAGGAGACAGGTAGTTGTTATTACCTGTGAATGGACAGAGTTGATGTGGTATTTGACTCCACTCTCAGAGTTAAACTCTTTGTTGCAGATCAGACATCTGTATTTACCAGCCTCAAAGTCGCCCTGAAAGAAAATCAGAAAACACTTCATGAATCCTGTTGTTCTCATACACAAAGGAGAAATATATAGAATATGAACAAAATAAGAAAAAAGCAACGAAAACTGAAAAGGGGGGAGTATTGGTGGAATAAGATTTGCACAGAGCTCAGAGAATGAAGGAAATGAGTTCTGCACAGAAAGTTAAAAAATGAAAGCAAGAGTAGAAATAATGCACATGCAGAGTGTTGCACAGAAGGCAGGAGTTTACAGCTGTTAGGAGAAAAATATATTGTGGACTGCAAATTTGTTTTGTTTCGGAGGGTCACAGTTATGCTGCGTCTGGTTTCCACTAGGCCGGCCATAACACATCACACTCTTATGATATTTACCTTTTTTTTATGCATGGTATCCTTTACTCCAAAAAAACATTTCTAAAAAGTTTTTTTTTTTTTTTTGCACCTTTTAATTCAGAGGACAACAAAAAAGCTGACGTACCCTTGTGCAGAGTCCCAGATGAGCTTTCAGTCCAGACACACTCGTGTAGGTGCAGTCACAACCCTGAGGAGGACACAGGATACGTTTCAGGACAAACAATAGCACTGAACAGAAAAGGGATATATCTCTTAATTTATAACATATCACTTATTAAACACTATTCCACTGACCAGGCTGAGCACACAGACTCTGATGTTGACTCTGACTTCAAACTTAAAATATGGTTGTTACTTGTCTTTCCTACCTGGTTGGGACAGTGGACTTTTCTCTGCAGCTTCACCTCGTTCTTCCACTTTCTAAGCACCTCCTGGCTGAAGGCGGGCAGGCCGGGTCGGGAATATTTCAACTGTGAAAACCAAAAGAAAGTAAATTAATAAAAAAGAGGAGGTCAATGAAGGCCTGACTTTTGCCGTTTTTAACCATTTTCTACATTACTTGTTTCCTCCAACAACCCTCTCCAGCTAGCTGGTTGAAATGTCTAAATATCTCAGAACTATAAAAGACATCCGCAGATATCCTGTTTTCTTAAACACGCCTTTTTGTCATCTGGCACCAGGTCCGACTGGAACTTCCTCTTGGGCCAGTCTTTGGGCAGATCGTTGTTGGCGATCTCCGCCAGGTGGAAGTTTGCCACCTGAGCCGACGCTCGCTGCACCCTGCCGCTCGCCGTCCTCTCCGGGTTGGCCTCCTTCTGGGCCTTCAGAGCCTCGTCGTCCTCGGTCTTCAGGGGCGTCTGGAGGAGGGGTAAGAATGTGTTTTATACTTTAAGCTTCATACGTTATCTGCTATCTAAACTGTTTCTTTAGTCATCAGATGTGACTTTAGACTAAAGACTCACTGGAGCATGCTCTGATTTCAGGTGGTACTCCAGACCGGCCTTCGATTTGTATGTCTTCCCGCAGTGAGAACAGTTCAGCAGCATTTTCTCCAGCTCAGACTCCTCCTTTCCACACTTCTTCATGTGGTACACGTAGCCCATGATGCTGGTGAACGCAGCGGTACAGCCCTGACCAGAGCAGAAAAATAAATCATTACACCAACATCATGTTTTTTTTTCTGTTTTTCTGATTTCCTTTTGTAAATGATTCTGATTTACCTCTTTGGAGCATTTTAGTTTTCCGAGTCTCTTCAGGATTTTACGAAGTTTTTCTTTGATGACACGATCGTCCAGGTCCTTAACATCGTCCGCTGACGGCTGAAAACAGACAAGAAGAAGCGCAGTCTGCATCACACATCATGGCCGACTGCTGAGCTTACCAACAATGAAAACATGAAGTCAGTCTGGTTAAGAATAACCTCTACTTCAATTATAGGTCACATATTATTCAACATTTCTATAACACGTGTCCCTAATCTGTCTACAAACCCCCCAATGATGAGAAAAGTCCATCCTCTCCGTCTTCTGCCTGCTCCACTTTTCAGAAAATGTGTGCTCAAACAGGCCGTTTGGAGATTTTCCCTTCATGACATCACAAAGGGCAGTAGCCCCTCCCCCAGGTGGGTGACACTCCCACAGCTAGGTGTTTGTTCTGCCCTCTGAGTCTGCCTTCTAACTGTAAACAATAGGACATGGAGCAAGAAAGCACCGAGTACACCCAAGTCCTTCCAGAGAGGGGGCGTGGTCAGACACAGCTCATTTACATATTTAAAGGTACAGACACAGAAACAGCCTGTTCTGAGCAGGGCTGAAATAGAGGGGTTTATAGACATGATCAAATACAGGATCAGAGTGGATTTAGAACAAGAAACTTCACACACATGTTCTGAGGAGCTCTGAGACTTATTTAAACTGGTTGATGAGGACGAGAATATGTGACCTTTAAATATTTGTAATGTGGGAAATAAATGCATTCATTTATCTGGAAAATGATCTTGACATCTCTTTAATCTGTTTTCCAGACTTACATAAAATAACTGAAGGTGTAACTTTTAAACGTTGAAGAAGATGAATACTCTTACCAGATGGCTGTGGTCAGCCATGATGTGATACTTCATCCCTGTTGAAGACTTGAGCTGTTTCCCACAGTGTGGACAGATGTACGGTTGCTGCGGACGACAGATACGTAGTGACGTCACGAGACATTTTGTTCTCTGAACCCAGAAGTTTTATGCAACATATAAATCCAATTCTTCAGATACAAACCAGTGGCCGTTAAAAACTGATTCGAACAAAGGTGCTGATTTGAAAAAAATAATTGATGGACAATTACATTGTTCAATATTACAAAATCATGGAATACTGATTTGCTCCTGCGATTGGCTCTGCAACAGATTTGAATAGATGTTTATTGCCATTCGCACAGGTACAGGACAGGACAGGCACATTGGAATTTTTTTAAAACCACTGCGCCCAACGTGGGGCTCGAACCCACGACCCTGAGATTAAGAGTCTCATGCTCTACCGACTGAGCTAGCCGGGCTGTGAATCCTACATGTGCTGTATGCTGTATTTGCAGCAGGAATTTTGAGTGGAATTTTTTTTATAATTTCCTACTTTTCATATATGCAAATGTCCGCTTAGCAGTGGAGTTTAAGTAGATTTAACCCTTTGTGCATGATTTATATCGCTTCTCTCTTTTGCACAGCTTTGGCAGCCACAATCCTTTTCTGATCAAGGCCCTCATCGTGCAAACACCGAGTGCTCACCAGTCTGCAGTTCTCCATGTGTTTCTTCAGACCCTCCACCGTCTTCCTGCTCACACTTTTACATTTTGGACAGGTGACTCGACCTTTGGCCACAATCTGAAGCTGCCAACGCTCCTCCTGGCTTCCTGGCAGACGTCAACAAATCAAGATGTTATTTAGATTTTACTTTTGAGTTTGATATCACAGAAGAATATGAGTTGCCCCGCTGTTCTGATTCCCAGTTTTATTTTGATTTTCTGCTGAATAGATGTACAGATTTGTTCTGTTATAATATGTGACATGTAAATTAAATAGCATTTTCTGCATTCTGTTGTTCCCTCAAACATACATTTCAGAAACAGAGAGAAGCACTTTCAGCCTCTCAGCAGCGGTCGGTGAGCAGCCTGTCTCACCTGGAGGGTAGCTAGGAGGCTCCTTCTTTGTGGAGATGACGGGCGGTTTCTGATCCTCGCTGGGTTGGGCTGTGGAAGTTTCGCCAACACTGTTTACATCTGAACCTGAAATATTTACATTACACGACAGGGTTTCATTCTGACCCACAACAAACATGATTTCTGCAGACCACATGCATGTGCATACATCATGCTGCTTTGTCTGTCTGAGGTTTATTTGTTGTTCTTTTGGAGCCTGTTTTGATGTTATTTTGATGACTGTATATTGTGTTTTATTTTGAAATTGACTGCAGTGTGTCTCACGCTCAGCCTGTTGATTTTTCAGATTTGACGGTAAATACCTACATGAGTTTCTGCTGCCCTCTGGTGGCTGAGTGAGGTTACTGGCAGGTTGGCCACGCTCCATCTCCCCTCTGTTGACTTTCTTCATGTTCAAGTCTTTAAAGAAAATATGAGAAACATGTGCAGAAGAAAGTCAGTCTCCAAAAAAACAAAGACAACATCCAAGAGAGAGAGAGACAACATTTTTTACACCTCAAACATGGACACAAAAATATCTCAGTACAACAACAAATATATTTATACCTTCAAGACAAACACGAAACAGCAACACATGAAAACTTCTGAATTTTAAATGCTATCATATAAACTACACATATACTATGTTAATAAGAGGCACAAGAACTGGTGGCTGTGGATCAGTGGTAGAGTCAGTTGTCTCTCAACCAGAGGGTCAGGGTTCAACTCCCAGCTCATGCAGACACATGTCCGATGTGTCCTCAGGCGAGGTCTCACAAGACCATGATCGACAAAATGGATTTTGATGTCTGAAACAGCCGCCGCAGGGTAGGTGTCAGATGAGGGATGTTGCAGCACGCCGCCAAAACCGCAAACTTTCTCTGGTCCAAACAAATCCAGACCATTCAGGACCAGAATCTAAACTTAGAAGGAGGACATTCTGGCTTCTGTTGAGTGAAGAACATAAACAGGACGAGGGGACATGAAGTAAAAGTGTTGTGACGGGGTACTCACCTGGTCTCCAGACGTGCCCTCTGTCTCTGCTCCAGTCTTGGTCTTGGTTTTGTTCTGTCCCCCACGCCTGCTCCGGCCCCGAGGAGGCCCGCTCCCTCCCTTGATCCCTGTCTGCGTTCCAGGCCTGATCCTGACCCCGGTCTCTGCCGGCCGCCCAGCCCTGCTCAGGTCCCCGATCCCTGCCCGTCACCCAGGCCTGGTCAGGTCCAGACTGGGCCCTGTCCCTGCCTGGGATCCAAGTCTGGTCCTGACTGGAGTGTCCCGCTCGCTCCCTGCCAGAGTTCCACACCTGGTCCTGACCTCGGTCTCTCCCGGGGGCCCAGGCGTCGGGGCCTCGGTCCCTGCTGGAGGTCCAGCTCTGGTCCTGAGACTGCGACTGATCCCTGCCCGCCTCGGGGCCTTCGGGCCACACATCCTTCCCTGCGGTTCTAGGAGAGAGCCTAGCAGTGGGCGGAGCCACGGACCCTGGATCCGCTCCATTTGACGGACCACCCGATGACATCATTGAGCAGCTGGTGGTGGGGTAATCTACCGTTCCCATGGAAACACTCTGGAGTTCCTCGTACCTTTAAAAAGAAGGTTCTACATTTACTACAGATTATTGAACAATGAGCTGAGACCAGGAAAATCATTTATTTATAAAGAATCTTAAAACACGATGGACAGGTGGATGAGTGTCTCACCTTTTCCTCCCGTAGGTTCTTTTCATCTTCACGGCGTCTTGCTCTTCACACTCGTCATTCTGAAAGGTTGACGAACAGAAAAGTAGAGAACAGATTCCACTGTGTTTATAGACGTCGCACTTTTAAGGGAAAGGTCCGGTGAGTGAAAGTACCAGGATGTTTAAACACATCAACTCTTATGTGTGTGTTTCTGTGTGAGTCCACACTCACCTTGGGATATCCAGCTGAATTTAACTCACACGTCCTTTCTGGCAATCGCTGAACAACTGTCGATTAAAAATCAGAAAAATGAGAGATGAAGTTGTCTGATTTTTTTTGTTTTTACAGCAAAAAGCATCAAAGAGTGAAACCGTTTACATCAACCTTTTATTATTCAGAACATGATTTCTGTGAGCTGCTGAGGTTGTTTGTGTTTGTTTGTCTTATGTCTGGATGTTTTCTAGCTAAATGGAGAGAGGAGGAAAATGAAAATATTCCCCTGTGCAGTCAACGTCCTCTCCATTGAAAGAAATGAAAAAGTGACAGCTGCTCATGATGATGTGTACTCACAGTTTTTTTACTCACCTGGACATGGCACTCCACCTTTCGCTTGTGACTGGACAGATCTTCTCTTTCGTGGCACATACAAAGGTGACATATCCCCTCCAATGTGGGCAGGGTCCATAATATGAGAGGAGACACTCTGTAGTAATCACCACTGAAACACACCAGAGAGAACATTAAAGGTCACATATTATACAAAATCCACTTCCCCATGTTTCTCTAACTCTAACATGTGTCTCTAGTCCGTCTACAAACCCCCCAATGATAAGAAAAGTCCATCCTCTCTGTCTTTTCCCTGCTACACTTTTCAGAAAGTGTGTGCTTAAACAGGCCGTTTGGAAAGTTTCCCTTCATGACATCACAAAGGGCAGTAGCCCCTCCCCCAGGTGGGTGACACTCCCACAGCTAGTTGTTGATGTTTAATATTCCATTATTTGCATTTCAAAACAGTTTTTGTTACACTTTCATTTTGGATATTTGCATTTTCATCTTAACGTAACCTGAGGCTGCTTTACTTCCTGTTTGGATAAAAACCTGCCTTTATTTTGAAAGAAAATTATGAACTTCTGGTAGATGGAAGGTGACAACTTTTACTTAACCACAGAAAAAGGAACTTGTCACGAATCAAAAAGTAAATGAATACAGTTAAAGAGGACACTAACGGGGTGGCGCAGTGGTTAGTGCGCGCGCCCCACGTATGGAGGCTGTCGTCTCAAGCGGGCGGCCCGGGTTCACATCCGGCGGCTCCTTCACCGCATGTCGTTCCCCTCTCTCTCTCTTTCTCCCGGATTTCTGATTCTATCCACTGTCCTGTCTATCCATTAAAAGCCCAAAAATAAATCTTAAAAAAAAGAGGACACTAACAAAGGTCAATTTGTGATGTCATCAGGTCAATGTGTGATGTCATAAGGTCAATTTGTGACGTCATCAGGTCAATTTGTGATGCCATAAGGTCAATGTGTGATGTCATAAGGTCAATGTGTGATGCCATAAGGTCAATGTGTGATGTCATCAGGTCAATGTGTGATGTCATAAGGTCAATTTGTGACATCATCAGGTCAATTTGTGATGCCATAAGGTCAATTTGTGATGTCATCAGGTCAATGTGTGATGTCATAAGGTCAATTTGTGATGTCATCAGGTCAATGTGTGATGCCATAAGGTCAATGTGTGATGTCATCAGGTCAATGTGTGATGTCATCAGGTCAATGTGTGATGCCATAAGGTCAATGTGTGATGTCATAAGGTCAATGTGTGATGTCATCAGGTCAATGTGTGATGTCATAAGGTCAATGTGTGATGTCATAAGGTCAATGTGTGATGTCATAAGGTGGATATTGCTGTCTGAGAGTTTGTTAAAGTGAAATGAGACATTCAGAGACGCAGCAGTGAGACTACAGGGAGACGACTATCTACGGTGAGCCTAAAGGGACAAAATAGCACGTGTTAAAAAATAAATGAATGCATTATTAACTATTACACTATTAACAGGTTTAAGCTGATAGCGCTGAAATGTGAAATTCACTTAATCCCTGACGGTTTTACTTTTTTTCTCTACATTTTGACTAAACAAATAAAGATTCTTACATTACAGTATACTTTCTCACAAATTCAGATTTATCTGTGGCACCTAAAAAAATGTTCTTAAACCTCAAAATTAGTCAGAGATTCTTTACTATAACAAACATTTCTCTAACCTTTAGTGACTTCTTCGTGCATGGTTATAGTTTACACTAGTGTTGTTTTTCTATCTGCTCAGTGTAATGTGTTGGTGAGCCTCTCATGTCATGTTTTAACTGGTTTCTCTACAAATCTAAACAGAGCTAAATGAATGTCCAACACTTCAGATACAGTCACAGGGCTTTTTGCTTTTCTCAGAAGCCATTCCAGGACTGAAGCAAAAGGACTTCAAACCACCACCATCATCATTACTGTCCGTGTGGATCACAAAAATAAGATTTTTCTCTTTGGACGACGACGGTGAAGAGGAAGGAAAAAAGACTCAAACTGCAGCTGAAGCAAAACTAGTGCTAGCTGTGATAGCATTACCTGACCTGCCCACCTTTTTATTGTTTCTTAACGGAGGAAGAAATGCAAGAGAAGGAGAGAGAGAGAGGGAGAGAGAGGGAGAGAGAGAGAGAGAGAGAGCCTACCGTCCTACAGCTCACTCCCTCTGCAAGGACGGATAGCCTCCATGTCTTCAAGTCCGGCCTCCTCTGTCGCCTTTCCCCCGGCAGTGAAACCAGCAGGAAGGCTAACATCAAAGAAGGCCCGACGCTGGATGTTCAGTGTGAGACAAACCTCGAAGCTTTGACAGCATCCAAACGTCAACCAGCCGGCATAACGCAGCGCACTGTGTTTGTGTCTTCTTCAGCGGAACGCCCTCCTGCTGGAGAGAACAAATAAGACCCGCATCTGCTGCTGCCTTCACGGACTGTCGGACAAATACCCACTCTTTGTAGATTGTGTTGGCTTAAAAAAAAAAAAAAAAAAAAGTCAAATGGAAACGTTTTGAGAGCCTGGGTTCCACCTTCTCCCAGTCCACTTGTGCCGACAGGGAGGAGGTTAAACGTGTGTTCTGAGGTTGTTTGTTTCGTCAACAGTTTGGGTTTTTAAATAATATGTACACACTAAACAATGCTGGGTCCAAATTGACGCAATATGGGTTATATAGTAACCCTGCGCCGGGTCAATCTAGCACCTACACAGCACTGGGTCATTGCAAAGAATGACCCAGCATGTTGGGTTAACTGTCTTACTCTTAAATTGGGTCAAAATGACCCAACGTTGGTTCCTTTTGACCTTTTCAATGGGTTATTATTAGTATATGCTTATTTTCACCCAACATAGGGTTATTTATGTAATCATATTTTTCTCCTGTACATTGCTTAGCCCTACAAAAAAAATAAAAAAATGTAATTTCAGAATTGCAAAACCATAATTTACATAATAATTTACAACACAAACTGCTTCTAAACAAATGGAATCAACACAAATTATAAAATTAATCCATATATTTATTTACATTTGAAAGAGCCAACAACATTTAGAATGCATGTATGAAAAAAAAAACGAGACAAAATGCCAACACAATAATGCATTTTACAGTAAAAGTAGTATCCCAAATTAAGCCCAACTGAACCCAGAGCTATGGAAGGATAGAAATCAACAAACAATATCTTAGTCTACTAAAACAACATCAACCGATTCATCGATTAAAAGGAAGACCTACCCCACAAAAATATTTGCTGGAGTGTCATTACTTAGAGAGGCCCTTAGGAACTGAATGACGGCAACCCTTGGCCAGGCAGCTGATGAACAGCTGTTTGTAAAAAGTCCCATTGCTTAAAGGACGTCAAAGACATGAAATGTTGCATGTACACTTTTACTGTGGACTTATCGCACTCACGTACTCCATGATTATATCCATGGTGGTTGTGTTTTTATGTAAGTATCCCTCCCTCTAGATCAGGGGTGGACAACTTTTAACCTCAGGTTAATTTTTGACACATCAATTAATTGGAAACATGAAGAAAACATGATGAAATCTGCCATGAAATCATGAAAACCAGAAATATGTCCATAATAATATTTGATCACTGGTATATGTTGAGTTAATTTGAGACAGAATCGACTGTAATCGTTTAATTTGGCCCCCTGGCAGTGAAAATTAAATGAATGTGGCCCTTGCTGTCACCAAAGTTACCCATCCCTGCTCTGGATCTTACTCCCCACACAACACGGGTTAGTGTTTTGTGCTTTTATTTTGTCGACTGTGTGCAATTTAGTACATAAAATTTACGTTGTAAGAATTCTTTTTTTTTTAATTCACACTTCAAGCTATTAATAAATACCCTGAGATATTAATTAAACATCTTATTTGCATTAATTTTCCTTTTAAATATTTATTTTTTTATATTTCTTTTGTTTATGTATCAACCAGGTGTCTTTCAGTCTTCATCACTCAGACGTAGAGGATTACGAGCAGACCCTGAAGGCAGCATCAGTCAGCAGCTCTGAAGACTTAGTGGGCGGGTCCTCCAGCCAGCAGCCAGTCTGTGTGAAGTGTTACTCTGCATTAGTTAGAATAAAAGATGGTGTTTTGATATATTTATTTTAGATAAATGTTGGGAACACATTCAGTCATGTATGGAGGTGAGATGTGATTTGAGTTTAGTGAAATACTGCAAACATTCAAGTTCATTTAAAGGGTTTTTTAGCCACTTTGTAGAAGAAGAGCTTCATGACAAACTGAGAAATAATTAAAAACAGCATGGCCTCTTTTATTTTGACCTTATTTACACTTCCAGCAAACAGTAAGCCCCCTGACATGTACATTCAGTCTATACTCCTCGTTCAGGTCTTAGCCTCGACTTACTCCTGAGGGAATCGTGTAAGTCTTAACCTTCTAAACTCTTTACTTTGTTTACCAGCTACACGCTAACTGTGTCTGCCTGCAGCATTCAGTAAACCATGTAGCTTACTTGATGAGACCACTCATCCTTTGACCTCTAATTTGTGTTTATTTTTCTGTGATGTCGTCTTCTTCTCTTCCTCTTATAATCTTTGAAACTTCTTGTGATGATTATTCCAAGTGTCATTTTACTCTCTTTTATTCTTCTATTCACTCCTTTAATTGTATCACTTTGACCTTTTCAGACTAAACGCCAACCTCTGCTGTTGAAGAATGAAGCCGATGCGGAAGTGCACAAATCTGCAGTTCTTTGAGTGTCCACTTGAGGCTGGCTCCAGGAGCTCCAGAAGTCACACACACACACACACACACTCCCTTTTATTTGTCTGATAAGGTATTGTCCTTATCGCATCAGTTTTGATTTTATGAAGGATAAGTGTTATTTACTATCAGGCAGTAGCTAACCAGCTTAATAACACTAAGTTACATCTGTACAGACCCATAAACCAGTGTGTCTTGCTCAAGGACACATTGGACAAGTTACTCAGCTGGGGATTGAACCCTTGAACTTCTGGTTGAGAGGCGATGACTCTACCAACTGAGCCACAGCCGCCATGTTCTTAAGTAAGTATTTATTTCTTTGTGCTGTTTTTATAATTTCTGTTGCCTGGACGGATCTCTGTTGCAAACCAGATTGCCCCTTGGGCACAATAAAGAATTTCCAATCCAATCCAATCCCTCTGGATCTTACTCCCCACCCAACACGGGTTAGTGTTTTGTGCTTTTATTTTGTCGACTGTGTGCAATTTAATACATTAAATTTACGTTGTAAGAATTCTTTTTTTTTTATTCACACTTCAAGCTATTAACAAATCACCTGAGATATCAATTAAACATCTTATTTCCATTAATTTTCCTTTTAAAACCTTATTTTTTTCTATTTGTTTCTGTTTATATATCAACCAGGTGTTTTTCAGTCATCATTCAGACGTAGAGGATTACGAGCAGACCCTGAAGGCAGCATCGGTCAGCAGCTCTAAAGACTTTGGGGGCGGGTCCTCCAGCTCTCAGCCTGTCATTAGGTTGACTGAAAGTTAGACTGAGACAGGATATCCAACATGGCGGCTGCTGCCGATGAGCCTCCAGAGCCCCCTGCAGGAACAGATGGGTGACGTCACTCTGCACAGAGCTGCATGGTAGCACATCACTTAGGGTAGCACTATTTGATAGCATGCCAACATAACTTTAAATATGTTTGTTTTTCTTTTTTGTATATTTCTCTCTTTAATAAAAAATAATGAATGAATCAGAAGAGGACTATTCAACAGATATACACTGGTATCAAAGGAGTCTATAAAGTGATCTAGTGGGAATAACTCCAGCTGTATTTGATGTCAGCATTGTGCTGTTGCTCGGGCCTTGCATGCCTGACAGAAAATCCATTTCAATATATGGCTGAAATGAAACGTAAGGGATTACAGCTGCTGCTTCTTGTCTGGTTTGCAGCGACGCAATGATTCTGTATTTTATAATTAACTCCTTATCTAGATTTCTTTTTTAGACTTTTTTTGTCTTTATTAAAAATGACATTTTCAGCATAAACTGTTTTATAAAAGTCTGACTGAAGCTGTTCTTTGGTGTTGTTTAATCCATCACATGTAATGCATGTAATATACATTTTACAGCTCTACATATTTTATGGCTTGATAGAAGTATATCAGACATGCGCATTGAACCCTCATTTGCATAAACTAAAGCTGCATAATCTGTGGCTCTCTCCTAAAGTCGCGACATATTTATAAAAACTCCAAAGTTCCAGTTAGTCAACACATTAAAACAAGTTAAATCCAGAGTTTTCTCTGTTTGGAGCTTAACATGTTTCCCCCTTCTCCTTACACTCCCTCCTTCCACCGCTAGAGGGCGGTGTAACACAAAATGATGATTATTATCATTTTTACGTCATTTTAGAAAACCAACACTAATTTGCCAAAGCTCGTGAAATAATGTAATGTTAGATAAATGGGCTGTGTTGATATCTTCTGTCTTGTTTGACTCTGATAGGCGTACACCTGTCACGTGGTTCCCTTATCAGTCAGAAAGCATCAAGTACACGTTGCATCCAAAACAAAAGTGAAAGTGTTTTTGTTTGTGCGCAGACGGGGAGCAGTTCAGCCTGAGAGAGAGGAATGACAGAGACATTAGAAACAAATTATCAATCTATTCCGTAAGTAGGCACTGTTCAAAATATCATCTTTGAGGCTGTTTACGGCTGAATGTCTACAACGCAGCGGAGTTATAGAGATTATAATCCACTAAGGTATCTGAACTGTGTCTGCTTGGCTTGCACACAGCAGCTATGACAAAGCAGCTTTTGATTCATATACTGTAGGCCTGTACTCACTATTCTTCTTTAACTTGATTATGTCTTTTTTTAATATGACGCTGAATCTCGTTTCTTATCTCTCCTTCAGGAACATGGACCAGGAAGGGGCCACCCGTGAGTTAATACATTTACACTTTTCATACATTAATAAAATATAGGTTTGTCAAGATTCAGATTAGATCAACATTAAGACTGCTAATATATATATTTGTTGCCAATATGTCTTCCAGGCCACTTAGAAAGTCAATCTTGGTGTCAATATAAACATTTTCTGGGTCAAGGAATTCATTAAAATGTCATTATATGATTATTTGTGCCAAGATCAAACATGTATGTTAACTTTGGCAATGTATTACATCATTTTTCTTGGTTCCTAGGCAGTTGGACATGATTCATGTTTTCTTTCTTCAAGTGATCCCTCCCTCCTCAACTGTTCACTCTGCCACCACATGGCAAAGCCGTTAGCTCTTCTTTTTCTTGGTCTGGTTGCTATGACGTCTTTAAAGTCTGTTTGACAGTTGTATGATGACTCATCAACCTTTTTTTTCCCGTCTTTAGTGTCCGGGAAAAAGTTCAATGTCTTGGTGTCGGGAACAACACATGAGGCTCATGTTCCTTGGGTCAAACAATTCAGAGGCATGGGCCACACCGAGGTCCAATCTGAAGGTGAAAGTAACTACATTCTGCTGTTCTGTCCCATCGTGTCCCGAGTTGGAACAGACATCAGTGAGGCTCTGGAAAACATTCGACATAGTAAGTAATAACCTTGTCAGTGTGTGGAAGATTTTAAATCGATTAGCTAAAGATCAATAAGGAGCAATCAGTTAAAAATATACATTTTCTATATTATTCTTTATTTTGTTTGTTTACAGGTCGTTATGGAACTTAAAATTCTTCTTTTTTTTTTACAAAAATTTACAAAGTTTCACTTCAAGCTCCTTCTGCTGCCCCCAAGTGGCCAAGTAAAAACTAAAACAACGAGTACTCAAAACTACTATCTAATTAATAATTCTGGTTAAAGGAAGAATGTGCAACTTTTTGCTCCGTAGTCCTCGACTAGAACAGCTTTCATACGCAGAGGGAGGAGTCGGCCGTCCCCGTCTTTGTGGACCTGATGTCAACTTCTTCTTCTCACTCAGAGAGACATTTACACATTCTTCCTTTAATGGAAAAAAATAAAAAGAGAAAGGAAATGTATTATGTTGTACAAATTATATTTCTTGTTATTATTTATGGTTGTATTGGCTACAAACTGAGAAGAAAACAATATGATCTCCCCTTATCATATATTGACTCCTTTAACTTGTGTTCACAGGTAACAAACCAGTTATTCTGGTGGTCATGCATCACACCTTCAACGCTGACTACGTGTTGGCTGAAAGCAGACGGCTGGTCAACAACCCAAACGTCTGCCTGGTTGTGGACTGTCTGTTCCACGAGGGACGGCTCCTCAACTGTAACCGTAATGACATTGCATGGTTTGAGATCGAGAAGTTTCTTGGAGTTGCTTCTCCACCTGCTCAGGTAAAACTAGATTTACTGCTCCTGTAATATCAGTGGATAAGGATTTATTATAACCCTCTGTAGTAATGTTGTTTTATCATTCTATCGTTTTCTAAATTATTTTCTTTATTTTGTCTCTTTAGGTCCTTTCTGGGACCGTTTGTAGCCTTTGCAGTTGTAAGTATAATCGTAAATTTGAGATTTCAGATCATTTTCAAGCTTTTTTTAAAGGTCACATATTCTCCTCCTCTTCAACCAGTTTAAATAATTCTCAGAGCTCCCCGAAACGTGTGAAGTTTCTTGTTCTAAATCCACTCTGATCCTGTATTTGATCATGCCTATAAACCCCTCTATTTCAGCCCTGCTCAGAACAGGATGTTTCTGTGTCTGTACCTTTAAATGTAAATTAGTTTGTGTCTGACCACGCCCCCCTCTCTGGAAGGGCTTGGGTCGGCTCGGGCTTTCTTGCATCATGTCCTATTGTTTATGGTGAGAAGGCAGACTCAGAGGGCAGAACAAACACCTAGCTGTGGGAGTGTCACCCACCTGGGGAGGGGTTACTGCCCTTTGTGATGTCATGAAGGGAAAATCTCCATAACGGCCTGTTTGAGCACACATTTTCTGAAAAGTGGAGCAGGTAAAAGACGGACAGGATGGACTTTTCTTATAACTGGGGGGTTTGTAGACAGACTAGAGACACATATTAGTGTTGGACAAACATAGTAGAGTGTGTTTTGTATAATATGTGACCTTTAAATTTAATTCAGATAGTGCAGATGTGCATTGAGATTAAAGAAGGACTCCAACATTATCTATATTATTTTAGTCCTACAATCCTGGTTCTGTATATAAATCTCATTTCCTATGCAAATCTCAGTAATCGCAAGAAACAAGTGTTTTTTCTCTCATCACATTAACACTTATTCTTCATGTAATTTGTAGGCAAAAAATATTTTAACGTTTAATTATTGATCTTTTTTTTTCAGGCTTTTCTGGGTGGAGCCAAATGATGATCTGTTGTTTTGCCCTCGGGATTAGTTTCGTGAGGGTACTGATCATTCTGATAACCGTGCTTTCTATCCTGAATAAGTAAAGTCGAGTAAAGGCCGTCACTAACCGAGAGTTAACCATCTGTTTACTCTCACAATCGAATAACCTTGAAGTATTAGGGTGACACATTAATGAGTAATGTAATGCATGTGAATCATCTTAAGAATATATAATTACAGCTGGATATTAATGTATTGCTGTAGTGAAGTTTATTGGATAATACAGATGTTAAAGTTTGTAATCTTTCGATCACTAATCTTTTATGGGAAGAGAAATAAAGAATGACGTAACGGCAGATACACGCCTTAGTAAGACGGAAAGAAAGCAAGCAAGCTGAAAAGTCAGGTTCTTTGTTGAGTCTGTCCATAAAACAATAATGAAATGCTTAAATGTACATTAAAAGGGTTTTTAAAATTTTCTTTATTTTGTCTCTTTAGGTCACTATCTGGGGCCGCCTTTGTAGCCTTTACAGACGCATTTGCAGTTGTAAGTATAATGTATATCGTATATCCTATATCGCAAAGTTTGAGATTTCAGATCAGTATTTTTCAAGCATTTCTTTTTAAAGGTCACATATTCTCCTCCTTTTCAACTAGTTTAAATAATTCTCAGAGCTCCTCAAAACATGTGTGTGAAGTTTCTTGTTCTAAATCCACTCTGATCCTGTATTTGATCATGTCTATAAACCCCTCTATTTCAGCCCTGCTCAGAACAGGCTGTTTCTGTGTCTGTACCTTTAAATATGTAAATGAGTTTGTGTTTGACCACGCCCCCTCTTTGCACAGGGATGTGACTTTCTCGCTCCATGTCCTATTGTTTACGGTGAGAAGGCAGACTCAGAGGGCAGAACAAACACCTGTTGTGGGAGTGTCAAGAAAAACAAAACAAGTGTTTTTTCACTCATCACATTAACACTTATTCTTCATGTAATTTGTAGGCAAAAAATATTTTAATGTTCAATTTTTTATCTTTTTTTTTCAGGCTTTTCTGGGTGGAGCCAAGGGAAGATCTGTTGTTTTGCCCTCGGGATTATACTCGTGGGGGTACTGATCATTCTGTTAGCCGTGCTTTCTATCCTGAATAAGTAAAGTCGAGTAAAGGCCGTCACTAACCGAGAGTTAACCATCTGTTTACTCTCACAATCGATTAACCTTGAAGTATTAGGGTGACACATTAATGAGTAATGTAATGCATGTGAATCATCTTAAGAATATATAATTACAGCTGGATATTAATGTATTGCTGTAGTGAAGTTTATTGGATAATACAGATGTTAAAGTTTGTAATCTTTCGATCACTAATCTTTTATGGGAAGAGAAATAAAGAATGCTGTAACCACCTTCTCCAGTCCACTTGTGCCGACAGGAGGAGGTTCACTTGTGTTGTAAGGTTGTTTGTTTCCTTCAGCAGTTGGGTTTTTAAATAAACTGTAGGCATTGCTGCCTGTACACTTTCACTGTGGACTTATCTTACTCACGTACTCCATGATTACATCCATGCTGGTTGTGTTTTTGTTACAAGTTTACAATTCACTTAGCAGATGCTTTTATCTGAAGTGACATACATCAGAGAGTAAGAACAAAACTAATCCATTCATACACCACCACTGAAGCAGCAGGAGCAATACAGGGTTAAGTGTCTTGCTCAAGGACACATTGGACAAGTTACTCAGCTGGGGATTGAACCCTTGAACTTCTGGTTGAGAGGCGACAACTCTACCAACTGAGCCACAGCTGCCATGTTGTTATGTAAGTATTTATTTCTTTGTGCTGTTTTTATGATTTCTGTTGCCTGGACGGATCTCTGTTGCAAACCAGATTGCCCCTTGGGCACAATAAAGAATTTCCAATCCAATCCAATCCCTCTGGATCTTACTCCCCACAACACGGGTTAGTGTTTTGTGCTTTTATTTTGTCGACTGTGTGCAATTTAATACATTAAATTTACGTTGTAAGAATTTTTTTTATTCACACTTCAAGCTATTAACAAATCACCTGAGATATCAATTAAACATCTTATTTCCATTAATTTTCCTTTTAAAACCTTATTTTTTTCGATTTGTTTTTGTTTATATATCAACCAGGTGTTTTTCAGTCATCATTCAGACGTAGAGGATTACGAGCAGACCCTGAAGGCAGCATCGGTCAGCAGCTCTAAAGACTTTGGGGGCGGGTCCTCCAGCTCTCAGCCTGTCATTAGGTTGACTGAAAGTTAGACTGAGACAGGATATCCAACATGGCGGCTGCTGCCGATGAGCCTCCAGAGCCCCCTGCAGGAACAGATGGGTGACGTCACTCTGCACAGAGCTGCATGGTAGCACATCACTTAGGGTAGCACTATTTGATAGCATGCCAACATAACTTTAAATATGTTTGTTTTTCTTTTTTGTATATTTCTCTCTTTAATAAAAAATAATGAATGAATCAGAAGAGGACTATTCAACAGATATACACTGGTATCAAAGGAGTCTATAAAGTGATCTAGTGGGAATAACTCCAGCTGTATTTGATGTCAGCATTGTGCTGTTGCTCGGGCCTTGCATGCCTGACAGAAAATCCATTTCAATATATGGCTGAAATGAAACGTAAGGGATTACAGCTGCTGCTTCTTGTCTGGTTTGCAGCGACGCAATGATTCTGTATTTTATAATTAACTCCTTATCTAGATTTTTTTTTAGACTTTTTTTTGTCTTTATTAAAAATGACATTTTCAGCATAAACTGTTTTATAAAAGTCTGACTGAAGCTGTCTTTGGTGTTGTTTAATCCATCACATGTAATGCATGTAA